TGGCTAATAGCCACTCATGGACCTCTGCTCCATATAAGGACATAAGGGGAGCCATGTTGGATCAGGCCAGTGACCCATCCAGTTCAACACTCTGTGTCACACAGTGGCCAAAAACCAGGTGCCATCAGGAGGTCCAGCAGTGGGGCCAGAACTCCAAAAGCCCTCCCACTGTTCCCCCCTCAGGCACCGAGAATACAGAGCATCCCTTGCCCCAGACAGTGTTCTCTCTAGGTGTTGTGGCTAATAGCCACAGATGGACCTCTGATCCGTATGTCTATCCAATCATGTCTTGAAGATGTCTGTGCTCGTAGCCGCCACCACTCCCTGCAGCAGTGATACCTATGGTCCATGTGGCTGATGTCGGGTGGGGAAATTCCTGGAAATTTTGGGGTAAAGCCTAGAGACAGCGGGGTTTGGGGACGGAACCTCAGTGAGGTATAATGCCACAGAGCCCACCCTCCAAAGCAGCCATTTCTCTCCAGAGGAACTGGATCTTTATGGTCTGGAGATCAGTTCTAATTCTAGATCTCCAGGCCGGGCCTGGAGGTTGGCAAGCCCAGGCTGCTGGGATCTGGCACAGGACCGGAATGGGCTGTGCCGGTTCCGAGTTTCCTGCACAGAGCGCAGAGTTCTCCTAGGGGAAACGGGATCTGCCTTTCCTGAGGGACCCTTCTAATTTTTTCAGCGCACCGAATGTGAGACCCGCCACACGGAATAATTTAAAGGAATGGATGTATGTCATTTCCTATGCTACTGCTGTTTAGGGGGTGGGGGAAGGAAGCGGTCATTGCTAGGACTAAAAAACTCACCCTTTGCCCACTGGAAATCCTACTGACCTCCAATGCTCCCTCTAAGCCAGTGGTGGCGAAGCTATGGCACGGGTGCCAGAGGTGGCACTCAGAGCCCTCTCTGTGGGCACGCGTGCCATCGCCCCAGCCAGGCCCAGACCATCATTAAAGTGTTGAATTCTCTGCCAAATAATTTTAAGTAAATGAAAGCATTTGGGATTGCTTTCCCTACTTTGTTTGGATCATCTTACGTTAATGGATGAGTTGTTTTTTCTAAAGTAAAACCTCAGTATTCAGGTTAAATAGCCGTGTGGGCACTTTGCGATAAATAAGTGGGTTTGGGGTCGCAGTTTGGGTACTCGGTCTCTAAAAGGTTCGGCATCACTGCTCTAAGCTGTGGAGTCTTGTGAGCAACAATTCTACTTCGTGAGCTACCGGCATTCAAGTTGTGAGCGGGCGATTTGGCCACTGCATATATTAGTTCGCTCTGGAGCCGTCCTTTCCTGAGCCGAGACAGAAATGTGTGAGCCGGAGGCTACAAAACCGTGAGCTAGCTCACACTAACTCAGCTTAGAGGGAACACTGCTCACCTCCCCTTGCGGCTTCTGGGATTTCACACCCTCAGACTTCTAGTAATTCCAGCAGTCTTTGTGTTCAGCATTCTAGGGTCGCCAGGTCTGGGTTGGGAAATACGTGGAGATTTTGGGGGTGGAGCCTGGAAAGGGAGGGCGGGGCCTGGAGAGGGGAGTGGCCTCAGCAGGGTACGATGCCGTAGAGTCCACCCTCTAAAGCAGCCATTTTCTCCAGGGGAACTGATCTCTGTTTCCCGGAGACAGGCAGGATTATTTTTTTTGTTCGGCGGGCATTTGATTTTTTAAGGGGGCCGTTAAATTACAGTTGATTAGATTAATCTGAATGCCTGTCTTCAAAGGGGGAAGCTCCGAGCCTGTTTCTAGCCCTTCCTTTCAAGGGACAGGGTAGCAAGTGCATCAGTTCCTAAGGAGGAAAAAAAACAGCCCGGAGGGCATTGAATTGCCTTCAGAAGGCATTTAAATGCCTTTTGGGTTCCCTTCCGCAGAGCAAGAAAGCCTAGAAGCCCTCAAGAGCAACGCTCCCTCTAAGCTGTGGAGTCTTGTGAGCAAAAATTCTACTTTGTGAGCTATTGGCATTAAAGTGGTGAGCCAGCCATTTGGCTGCTGCGTAAATTAGTTTGCTCTGGAGCCCTCCTTCCCGAGCGAAGGCAAAAATGTGTGAGCCGCTGGCTGAAAAACTGTGAGCTAGCCCACATTAACTCAGCTTAGAGGGAACTATGCTCAAGAGGAGTATCTTCAATCCATCTCCAATGATCCCCCTTTCTGCCAGCCCAGTCCTGCTGTAGACCACCTAGGTCACGGTGAGTCTTTCAGAAGCTTTCCCATGAGCCTTTGGGAAAGATGCAAAAATAAGATTTCTGGCATGGCTACTTGTGGGGCAGGGCCCCCAAAACGCCCCACTGTAGCTACGGGCCTGCCTGGAGACGAGTTCTAATCCTGAGATATCTCCAGGTCCCATCGGAAAGCCGGCAGCCCTATCTCCAGTGCCTGGCATCGGACAGAACCTATCCACCCCTTCCTTGCTTCCAAGGACCAATCTGTCTGAAGAATTATCCTCCCCCCCACCCTCCTTCCCCCCTGTTTGCATGAAAGCCCACCCCCGTATCCCCCCCTTACCACCCACCCCCACCACCTTGCTTCAAACAGTTTCACAGTTTATGCGTTCGCTCCGTACCCGGAAAGAGCATCGCTTCCCAAAGGGCTGGAAGTTTTTGTCCCCCCTAGAAAATGGGGGGGGGGAGAGCAGCACTAAATAAATAGCTTAATAAATTAAATAATAATAAATACACCCGGAGTTTTCCAAACGAGAGAGACGGGGAAAGGGATCCTTCGCTTTCTTCCTCTCTCGCTCAGTTGTCCTGAAGAATTCCCGCCGCTCGCCTGGCGAGGACGAGCCGACGTCCTCTTAAAGAAAGCCTTCCCGCTAGGCCGACGTGGGGAGTTATTGCTATTGGAGAAGGAAAGAGTAAAGGAAGGAGGAGGAGAAGGTCACGGAAGGTGATGGAGCCTAAGAAACAATCCGCGGTCGCCGTCTTTCCAAAGATCTGCTCGGACTCCGGGAAGGACGAGTTCGTATCTGCGCAAAAAATATCTCTTCTGGTCCCAAAATGGCTTGCTTGTGGCTGGTTGAGTCCCCCTGAAGTAGGGTTGCCAACTCCAGGTTGGGAGATTCCTGGAGATTTGGGGGTGGAGCCTGGAGAGGAGAGGACATCGGCAGAGTATAATGCCAGATAGCCTGGAGAGGGCAGAACCGTCAGCGTGACGCAGTGGTTAAGCACGGTGGACTCTAATCTGGAAAACCGGGTTTGATTCCCCTCTCCTCCTCCTCTGTGTGTAGCCAGCTGGGTGACCTTGGGCCAGTCACAGTCCTTGAGAGAGCTCTCTCAGCCCCACCTGCCTCACACGGTGTCTGTTGTGGGGAGAGGAAGGGAAGGTGACGATTGTAAGCCGCTCTGAGACTCCTTCGGGTAGAGACGAGCAGGGTGTAAGAGTCGACTCTTCTTCTTCACAGAGTCCACTGTTGACTGGCCACCAGTTGTAATTCCAGGTGATCTCCAGGTAGGGTTGCCAACTCTGGGATGGGAGATTCCTGGAGATTTGGGAGGTGGACCCTGGGGAGGGTGGGGTTTGGGGAGGGGGGGACTTAGGTAGGATATAATGCCTCAGAGTCCACCTTCCAAAGCAGCCATTTCCTCCAGGGGAACTGACCTCTGCCACCTGAAGATCCATTATATTCCCAAGAGATCTCCAGCTCCCACCTGGAGAATGGCAACCGATGCTCCCTCTAAGCTGAGGAGTCTTGCAAACCAAAATTCTGCTAGCTGAGCTCCTGGCATTAAAGTGGTGAGTGAGCAATTTGGCTACTGCATACGTTAGTTTGCTCTAGAGCAGTGGTGGCGAACCTATGGCACGGGTGCCAGAGGTGGCACTCAGTGGTGGCGAACCTATGGCACGTGTGCCATCGCTCCGGCCAGGCCCAGACCATCATTAAAGAGTTGAATTCTCTGCCAAATAATGTTAAGTAAATGAAAGCATTTGGGATTGCTTTCCTTCCTTTGTTTGGATCATCTTAAGTTAATGTATGAGTTGTTTTTTCTAAAGCAAAACCTCAGCATTCAGGTTAAATTGCCGTGTTGGCACTTTGCGATAAATAAGTGGGTTTTGGGTCACAGTTTGGGCACGCGGTCTCTAAAAGGTTCGCCATCACTGCTCTAGAGCCATCCTTCCTGAGCTAAGACAGAAATGAGTGAGCCGGAGGCTAAAAAACTAAGCCAGCTCACACTCACTCAGCTTAGAGGGAACACTGATGGGCAACCCTACCTCCAGCCCCCACCTGGTGGACGGCAACCAATGCTCCCTCTAAGCTGTGGAGTCTTGCGAGCCACAATTCGACTCGTTGACGTGCTGGCACTAAAGTTGTGAGTGAGCGATTTGGAAGCTGCACAAATTGGTTTGCCCTGGAGCCCTCCTTCCTGAGCTAGGGCTCTTTTTGTAAAAAAAGCCCAGCGGGAACTCATTAGCATAATAGGCCACACCCAACAGCAGGGACTCATTAGCATATTGGGCCACACCCCTGACAGCACAGCTCATTAGCACATTAGGCCACACCCCCAAATTACCAGAAGTGTGGTTATCCAGCCACACCCACCTTTTGCTTCTTATTCTGTTTACCTTGTTTGTTGTCAAAACCCGGGGCTTTTTTTGTAGCAGGAACTCCTGTACATGTTAGGCCACACACCCCTAACGTAGCCAATCCTAATGAGTTCCTGCTGTTGGGTGTGGCCTATTATGCTAATGAGTTCCTGCTGGGCGTGGCCAACTCAGGAGCCAGCCGGAACTCCGTTCCTGCGCGTTCCTGCCCAAAAATAGCCCTGGCTAAGACAGAAATGGGTGAGCCCTGGCTAAGACAGAAATGGGCTAAAAAAACCTGTGAGCCGGCTCACACTCGCTCAGCTTAGAGGGAACACTGATGGGCAACCGTATCTCCAGGCTCCACCTGAAGGCCGGCAACCCTACGCCGAAGCCACGCTTCCAAAGACTCCCCCTCCAACGTTCCCCCCAAAGGCCATGGCTCAGCGTCTCCTTCACCCTTCCTTCCCCCGAGGCGGAAGAGCCGGCCTCAATTGTCCCCGGCGCAGGCGTGCTGCTCCTCGGCCCCCTTGAAGCAGGCCGACTCGTAGTGCTTGTTGAGGTACGACTTGAGGGCGAAGGTCTTGTCGCACTGCTTGCACTTGTAGTGCTTGAAGGCCGAGTGGGTCTGCATGTGGGCGCGCAGGTTGGAGCGGTCGGCGAAGGCCTTCCCGCAGTGGGAGCAGCCGAAGGGCTTCTCGCCCGTGTGGGAGCGCATGTGTCCCTGCAGGAGCCAGGGGCGGCTGAAGGCCTTGCCGCACACGTCGCACTTGTGCTTGAGGTTGTGGGTCAGGACGTGCATGGCCAGGGCCGGCATGGAGACGTAGGCCTTGCTGCAGGTCGGGCACTTGCGGGCCATCTTGCTGTCCAGGCTGCGGTGCGTCTGCTTGTGCCGGCTCAGGTTGGAGGAGGTGGCGTAGGTCTTGCCGCACTCGCTGCAGGCGTGGCGGTGGCGGCGGCCGCGCCGTCGGTCCCCGCCCCGCCGCCGCGACCGCCCGTCCGTGATGAAGAAGGCATCCATCGAGTAGCTCTCCGTGACCGCGGCCTCGCCGTTGAAGTAGTGGGCCGAAAGGCTGGACTGGGGGCTCTCGGGGTCGCTGTAGTCCTCGGGGAGGGGGGTGTACACGGGGTCCGGAGAGGGCAGGTGGAGGCCGCGCTTCTTTTCATTCTTGTAGCCGGGAGACGTAAGGCAGGCTTGGAGGTATCCTAGGGGGGATGGACAGACAGAGATTGCAAATTATTCAGTTCACAGAGGTGGGGTGGACGTACACAGATCGCAAACTCTCTGGTTCTCAAAGCCTCCTCCCCACGCCTGAAGCGAGGATATCTTTTTTTCGGGGAGCATTTAGATTTTTAAGGGGGCAGTTAAATCACAGTTAATTAAATAAATCCGAATGCCTGTCTTTAAAGGGGGAGGCTCCAATCCCGTTTCTAGGCCTTCCTTCTAGCCAGTTTGGTGTAGTAGTTAAGTGCGCGGATTCCTATCTGGGAGAACCGGGTTTGATTCCCCACTCCTCCACTTGCAGCTGCTGGATGACCTTGGGCAAGCCATAGTTCTGACAAGAGCTGTCCTTGAAAAAGAGCAGTTTTTTTCAGAGCTCTCTCAGCCCCACCTACCTCACAGGGTGTCTGTTGTGGGGAGGGGAAGGGAAAGGAGATTGTAAGCCGCTCTGAGACTCTTTTGGGTAGTGAAAGGGCGGGGTATACGTCCAATCTCCTCCTCCTCCTCCTCCTTCTTTTCAAAGGACAGGGCATAAATCAGTTTGTGCTGGAGCCATCCTTCCTGAGCGAAGACAAAAATGTGAGCCGGAGGCTACAAAACCGTGAGCTAGCTCACACTAACTCAGCTTAGAGGGAACACTGCGTCACCTCCCCTTTCGGCTTCAGGGATTTCACACCCTCAGACTTCTAGTAATTCCAGCAGTCTCTGTGTTCAGCATTCTAGGGTCGCCAGCTCTGGGTTGGGAAATACCTGGAGATTTTGGGGGTGGAGCCTGGAAAGGGAGGGCGGGGCCTGGAGAGGGGAGTGGCCTCAGCAGGGTACAATGCCATAGAGTCCACCCTCTAAAGCAGCCATTTTCTCCAGGGGAACTGATGTCTGCTTCCCGGAGACAGGCAGGATTTTTTTTTTTGTTCAGGGGCAGCTTTTGATTTTTTTAAGGGGGCCGTTAAATTACAGTTGATTAGATTAATCTGAATGCCAGTGTCATGATCCGGGCTGTGCTACCAGAGGCCTACTAGGCCTAGGGAGCCTGGCTAGCAGTAGGTGAGGCTGGGCCTACAATTCCCAGAAGCCCCTGGGAGGTTTTGGAGCCAAAATGGACCAATAGGAAAAGAGGAGGGCTGGGAATAAAAGTTCTGGAACAGCAGGAAGAGCTGTTCTTTCTTCCAGAGGGCAGGGCCCGAAGGAAGGCTGCTGCAGGGGGGAAACCCTCATCCTGGGGGAAGGGTGAGTAGTCTAATGTCACTTGAGATAGTGAGCTAGGGACAGTGTATATTTAGACGCGTTAGGGCGTTTGATTTCTTTTTTTTCCCACCCACCGACTGTTATTATTCTGCACCTTGTTGTTTGACCTCCTATAAAATAAACCTTTTCCTTGTTTCACTCTGCCTGGTCCTCGCGCCTATTATTCGGCCTAAAGGGAGGTCTGAAGGTCTTAGGAGGGTGCTCTGGGCCTTCTCAAGGGAACCTAAATCCAGAGTGGTGGCAGTGTCAGGTGACACCCCGCCTGAGCCGTGACAGCCTGTCTTTAAAGGGGGAAGCTCCGAGCCTGTTTCTAGCCCTTCCTTTCAAGGGACAGGGGTAGCAAGTGCGTCAGTTCCTAAGGAGAAAAAACAGCTCGGAGGGCATTGAATTGCCTTCAGAAGGCATGTAAGTGCCTTTTGAGTTCCTTTCCACAGGGCAAGAAAGCTTAGAAGGGCACCGTCAATGTATCTGCAACAACCCCCCTTTCTGCTAGCCCAGTACCACCTAAGTCAATGATGGAGAACCTTTTCGAGACCGAGTGCCCAAACTGCGACCCAAAACCCACTTATTTATCGCAAAGTGCCAACACGGCAATTTAACCTGAATACTGAGGTCCTTACTTTAGAAAAAAAAAAAACTCATACATTAACTTAAGATGATCCAAACAAAGGAAGGAAAGCAATCCCAAATGCTTTCATTTCCTTAAAATTATTTGGCAGAGAATTCGACACTTTAATGATGGTCTGGGTCTGGCTGGGACGATGGCACGCGTGCCCACAAAGAGGGCTCTGAGTGCCACCTCTGGGTCCCGGGCCATAGGTTCGCCACCACTGACCTAAGTCATGGTCAAAAACAAGGTTTCTGGCTAGGCTTTGTGGGGCGGGGCTTTTGATTAGGTGGGCAGGGCCCCAAATGCCCCATTGTCGCTCTGGGCCTGCTCCTCCCGTGTGAACCTATCCGTGCCCTCCGGTCATCTCCGGAGGCCCTGCTTAGGGATGCCAGCCTCCAGGTGGGACCTGGTGGTATCCTGGAATTACAGCTGACGTCCATAGATCAAGTTGGGTCGCTGTGTTCGTCTGTCTGCAGCAGTAGAAAAGAGCAAGAGTCCGGGCACACCTGAAGGACTAGCCAAATTTGTAGCAGGGGAGGAGCTTCCCTGAGTCACGGCTCACTTCAGTCCCTTTCTCTGCTCACTATCTGAAGGAGTGAGTCATGAGCAGTGCTCCCTCGAAGCTGTGGAGTCCTGTGAGCAAAAATTCTACTTTGTGAGCCGCCGGCGTTAAAAGTTGTGAGTGAGCAATTGGGCTGCTGCCTAGATTAGTTTCTTCTGGAGCCCTCCTTTCCAAAGATGTGTGAGCTAGAGGCTAAAAAAACGGTGAGCCGGCTCACACTCGCTCAGCTTAGAGGGGACACTGGCCGTGACTCACAAAAGCTCCTCCCCTGCCATGAATTTGGTTAGTCTTTAAGGTGCTCCTGGACTCTGGCTCTTTTCTACAGCTCATTCCCCAGACTACAGAGATCAGTTCCCCTGGAGAAAAGGGACACTTTGGAGGACTGACTCTGTGGCATTGTACCCCACTGAGGTCCCTGTCCTCCCCAGGCTCCACCTCCAAATTTCCAGGCATTTCCGAGCCTGGAGTTGGCAATCCTTCCCCACCCCACGCCCCCTGCTGCTAGGGTTTGGTTGCCCCCCATACCATCTGAAGCCAAACAGGTGGTGGCCTTCTCAGTCGTGGCTCCAAAACCTTGGAATTTCCTCCCCAGCAATGTTCATCTGTCGCCTGCTATGTGATGATGATGTCGAAAGCTTTCACGGCCGGTGTTCATTAGCTGTTGCGGATTTTCCGGGTTGTGTGTGCATTGTAGGACCTGACGTTTCTCCAGCAGCTGTGAGTGGCATCCTCAGAGGTATAACACAGAAAGACAGAGGACTCTCTGTACCGCTTCGGTGGGAAGATAACAGCGTTCCGTGCGCCTCGGCGCTTAGCTATGCCGGCCGCATGACCACGGAGAAGTCTTCGGACAGCACTGGCTCTTCGGCTTGGAAACGGAGATGAGTGCCACCCCCTAGAGTCACCTTGACATGGAGAGTCCTCCATCTTTCTGCGTTATGCCTCTGAGGATGCCAGTCACAGCTGCTGGCGAAACGTCAGGTCCTACAATGCCAAGATGACGGCCAGACAACCCGGAAATTCTACAGCAGATTATTATTATTATTATTATTATTATTATTATTATTATTATTATTATTATTATTATTATTATTATTATTATTGGAGGAGGAGGAGGAGGAGTTTGGATTTATACCCCACCCTTCACTACTCAAAGGTGTCTCAGGGCGGCTTACAATCTCCTTTCCCTTCCCCTCCCCACAACAGACACCCTGTGAGGTAGGCAGAGCTGAGAGAGCTCTGACAGAAACTGCTCTTTTTTCAAGAACAGCTCTGAGAGAACTATGGCTTGCCCAAGGTCATCCAACAGGTGCAAGTGGAGGAGTGGGGAATCAAACCCGGTTCTCCCTGATTAGAGTCCGCACACTTAACCACCACACCAAACTGGCCAAATACACCAAATATAATTGTTCTTGTTATTTGATTTGATAATCAGCCTCTCCCTGCTTGTGCAGGGCTCTGGGCGATGTGCCAGAAAAAGGCATAGAGCCATAAAACAAATCAGGAAGGGGAACTCGCAGCCGTTTCCCGGAGTCAGATCTTGGTTTCCAAAATGCAAAAGAGAGCCCGGGAAATGGCGGGGGTGGCCACTAGGGAGGGGTGGCCCGTGACCCGCTTTCAGAGGCTTTGCGACCCACTTTTGGGTCCCGACCCACAAGTTGGGAAACACTGCTTTAACAAACCTTAGATTGTCAAGGGCGGATTTCCAGTAAGATCAGGCAGGAACCCACCAATGGTTCCAGAATGCAATCTGCATTTACCAATAATAGGAAAGTACCGATATTGGTAGAGGCCACAGTGGCTCAGTGGTTAAGACGCCGAGCTGCAGACCAGAAGGCCTCTAGTTTGGCAGTTCGAGACCTGAGTGCCGCGTGACGGAGTGAGCTCCCGTCTCTGGCCCCAGCTCCTGCCAACCTAGCTGTTCGAAAGGAAGAAATTGCAAGTTGATGAATAGGTACCGCTTCAGTGGGAAGGGAACAGCGTTCCGTGCGCCTTGGTGTTTAGTCATGTCGGTCACATGACCACGGAAACATCTTCGGACAGCGCTGGCTCTTCGGCTTGGAAACGGAGATGAGCGCCGCACCCCTAGAGTCGGATTCGACTGGCTTTCGAGCGAGGGAAACCTTTACCTTTTCCTTTCTACCCTTACATTTTCCCATGGCGGGCAAGAGCATACCACTGCTGGTGGAATGAAATCTGCATCTTCTCCATGTGCAAATATTGCTCTGGGTCTCCTGAATTTTTGCAACGCACCCTTTTAAATAAAAGGGGGGAAAAACCCCTCTCTCCAGGCTAGGCTGTCCGTTCCGAGGAAGCCTCGGCTACCGGCGAAGGTGGATGTGGGCTGGAGCTTGCGCCGCAAACAAAGGAGCATCCCTCCGTACCACACAGCACAAGGCCACAGATGTTCCTGTCCTTCCTTCCCTGGGGAAATAAGAGGAGCCGAAGCGGAAAGGAGGTGATTCCCCCCCCCCAAGCCTTTTCCTCCCGTCTTGTCCAATTTCCTCCCCACTGGAGCAAGGAAAGGCGAAGGGGTGACAGGGGTCATCTCATTACCTGCACACATC